AAGGTGACCCGGCGCTGGCAGGAAGATGGCAAACAGCTTCCATAATCGCCGGCGCGCCGTTGTGTCCCACGTGGAATGGAACGTGGATGCGGTCTCGTGGAAACAGCCTTAAACCTTGCACCTGTCAACAGAGCACGAAAGCGCGGAGACTTCAGACGTATCGTGGGGCCTTTATTAAGCCGCCGTGTTCTTGTACGCTTACAAGGATTTAGGATTTGGCAAAGTTTCACATAGAGGCTGATCTGCGCTTGTCGGATGCAATCACTGCAAAGTATCGCAACAAAAAGCGTCCAGGTCCGCACCAGAGACCTGAGCGTCAGGAATTTCCCCAGATCGACACTGAAATATTTAATTGACATCAGAAGCAATCAATGTCTGCTTTTTGCGTGATTTAGACGCAGAATCCATAAGTGAATGAACAAACGAACATTCGTCGGAACAGCTTCGTTGAAACCGGACTCAGAAGCACGCGCGGCGCAACGCAGCACTTGACATTGGCGGACTGCAAACTTGTGAACTCGGCAGGGTATGGATCGTTGTACTGGTTTGGAGGGTACTGTGAGGGAGCTCAGTCCTTGGCAAGCTTCTGCTTTTACAGGAGGAAACAGACTACACTCCTCAGCTACAGATGTAGCCATTTCAATAAAACATTAATCCCATGTCTTAATATACTTAATCCCATGGCTTAATATACTTCTAGGTAGAAAGCAGAAGGAAAGATTGTTACAAAAAAGTCTTCATGTAGTGTATCTATACAGTAACAAATAATGTAAACATCACATTTCCTTTCCTGAGATAGCCACACTTCATTTTTGCCTCTCCTTATTCATGTATTCATTCACCATAATTCCAGCTATTCATCCATCTGTAAGTCTGTAACTGCCAGTAGGTTATCAAACATATTTTCTTTCATTGTAATTAGGTATGTGCTCTAAGCATCCTTAAAACCAGAAAGTGTAATAAAGCATTCATTTAGTCATTTTTCATTATTCAGGACTTCACTGAAGACTGAGTTCATCACATAAACCACAAATTATTAATTCTCTCTCTGATCAACTGTTGCAGAGCAGCTACGGAACCTGTCAGGAGGATTAACTTACAAATATAGGCACTTGGACCTGTGGTGATCTTCCACCCCTTCAATGTCCCTCAACCCCAAAGTACATTTGAAAAATGTCAGCACATCCTTTTTCTTCTAAAAAACGATAGAGCTGCCCCAAATCCATATGATTTCCTCTGGCACCATGTGCATCAAAACATTTTTCTTCCAAAGTGGAGAACTTTCTTTGTTTCTGAACCTCAGCCTGTCCTCCACCTTCCAAAGAAACATCTTCTCTGTGCCGAATGAGAATTCTTTTCCACGTTAATCTTCTTACCCTGAAAGCAATTGGAGAAATATGAATCTATCTATAAAATAAAGACTGTTTCAGAAAATACTATGAAAGAACTACTAAGACAGAAGTCAATAAATTCCATTTGTACATATATCTTGAAAAAGATAATGGTTCCCTAGCTGGTCATAGAAATACTATTCACATGCAAACACTCTCATAAGCAGGAGCTTGTGTCTTTATATCTCACCTGGATTCAAAAACCTTTTTGTTATTCCTCACAAAATAATTGATGAAGATGTGGTTTCAATTTCAGTGCTCACTTCTGCCTTGCCTGTGCTAAGAGTTCTCATATTCCCACACTCTCTTAGCTCTTATATTCACACAGCAACGTCCATTTAGTCTGCATCACCCAGAAATATAAATGATGGGAGCAGAATAAAACAGCAATGTAAAGAGATATAACAACCTACGTGTCTAACACGAGGGGTACTGACGTCCATCACCGTACAACTGAAATATGGAGGAAGGTAAAACAGAAATAAGCGTGCACCGTGCAGCACTAGTAGCTTTGATTGCTGTAACCAACAGTACAGTGGATGTTTAGAATTGTAAATACATTATGATAAACATAAATACTTTACAGATTTTAGAGGTTGGAAGGTGGTTGGATTTCCCACCTTCTGGCCACATATATAACATGAAAAATGTAATATTCTAACTACCAATGGCATTTAAGTACAAACAAAAACTAACCTTGACCAGAACTCTTCACAGCTACTTTGTAGACCTTCTACACAAACAACACCTGGTTTCCCTGGCATGCAAAACCCTGACAGAGAGAGCTCCTTGGCCCAGTCAATAATATTCTTTCTTTTTTGCTTGTTGTAAATGTGATGGCTATAGATCCACAATCGAGTGAACGTGATGTCTTCTGACTGCACGGCATTTGATGTTGTCACTGAGGAAGACGACAGCTCTTTGTCAATGTATGCAGCTGCATGGTCTTTAACCCATTCCCTTGCACTCAACATGCAGGGCTCACCACTGCAGTTTTGCATCAAATATGTTTTTAGATCAGAGTTCAGACGAATCTGCTGAGAGCGGCTTAATAATGATGACCTAAAGGAAAATAAAAATACAAATGCAGCTTTAAGACGTTTACAATTTAACATGTTTTTTTCAAACAGTTTTACTTCAAGCTGCAAAAAAAACCAGGCCATATTTAGATGGTATGTACTTGCTATTGATATTTAAATCATATTATCTACAAAAAGGTTTTAATTACTATGTAATTGATGTGCTAACTCTTGAGTTCACGTATAGTACTACTAATATGTAAATGAAAATCAAGAGAAAGGTACTTGAAAAGTAAGTAAGGTGGCTGAACTAATTTCCAGTAACATGCAACTCTACTTCTTTAAACAGAAATATTCCAGTAAAAAAGAACAGAAGCCTGGGAGTAACAAGGAAAGAATAAGACCATTGAATAACTTTTCACTCCTTTAGTTAGTGTTAAGCCTTGTCGAAATGGACAACAGTCTCTCTTCTTGAGCATCAGACCTACGGACAGTATCTACATGTAACTCCTCTGTACAGAAGATGGCACTCCTCCACGCTTATCCCATTTTTCCTCACTTATTTGCTGAGGACACCAGAGAAATCATAACCTCATAGACTTGTTTTTCTTCCACATTGTCGTCCATCTGGCTTAATCTGACCGTGACCTATCAAAAAAGGACTGCTTTTTACTATTATAACTGTATTTATGTAGTACACCATAGCTTCCACATGTTTTTACTAGCTGTACTTTTAATGTCATACCTCACAGTAATTTCTGGTAGAACAGCTGGATATTTAAGTGGTAAAGCACAGGCCATAGAGAATTCCACCTAAAAACAAATGAGCAGATGTTGAGTTCAAGTAAGCCCTAAAATTTCACAAAATAAAAATTAAAAAAAAAAAAAATAAAGGTGTTTACAATACCATAGAGGCATTAGAGCCCTCTGGCTTTACATTCAGTATGAACTGAACTTTTGAAGATGGCATCTCTGCAGACTCGTTTTCAACATAGTGTTTCAGTTCTGCTACAGCCAGCTGGTCAGTCACAATGAACTCTTCCTCGTAAGGAAACATACTAGAGAGTAAATCTAACTCTGAAATTTGTATCTCAGCTTCTTCTCGGTTAGTCATTTCTGCTGTTTCCTAAGCAAAGAAGAAATTAGGTGAGAAAAACAGGGCTTGAATACGGGACAAAGTTCATTAACTACCCTCACGTAAACCATGTTAATCCTTATATCCAAGCCCATCAAAACTAGCTCGTACACGTTGGGGAGTTGGGGGCACGAAGACGCTCTGTGACAGCCCCTGAGGTTTCCAGTGACCTGAGCTGGGGCGGGATGCCGTGCTGTGCCACCGAACAAATTTCTCTCTCAGAGGG